GGAGCACATGACTTATGAGGAGACGCTGAGGGAACTGGGATTATTTAGTCTGCAGAAGAGAAGAATGAGGGGAGATTTGACAGCTGCTTTCAACTACCCGAAAGGGGGTTCCAAAGAGGATGGAGCTAGGCTGTTCTCAGTGGTAGCAGATGACAGAACAAGGAGTAATGGTCTCAGGTTGCAGTGGGGGAGGTTTAGGTTGGATATTAGGAAAAACTTTTTCACTAGGAGGGTGGCGAAGCACCTGAATGGGTTACCTAGGGAGGTGGTGGAATCTCCTTCCTTAGAGGTTTTTAAGGCCCGGCTTGAGAAAGCCCTGGCTGGGATGATTTAGTTGGGGATTGGTCCTGGTTTGAGCAGGGGGGTGGACTAGATGACCTCCTGAGGTCCCTTCCAACCCTGATATTCTAGGATTCTATGAATGCCAAAGGAAATAAAAAAAGTAAACTGTTACTACGAAACCCAGATACGTACATGCACACAAAAATAATTCTTACTCTTTACTAAAAGTAATTCAAAATGTAAATCACAAGTCAACCCACTGACATAAAAACAGAATTCTCAAGCTTGGAATTAGACTTGTGATCACAGAAGTTGGTATAAAAAACCTTTTACCAGTTAACAGATAGAATTTTATTTATCACTTTTCATACTCAATAGCACAAATACTATGATGTATATATTTGGGAGTTAAATGTTTGTTTAAATAAAACAGACACCATGATAAGATCCTGCATGAATGTACACACAAAAAAGTAATGTTAATAGACAAGTATCTGTTCCCCCCCCCCCAATAGCACTATAAAAATATATTACTACCATTCCAAGCAACATAACTTGTTCAAGAGGTCCCAAACTACTGTAAAGGGGAAGAAGTGGTAAATGCAATTTTGTTAATCTACACACAAAATTGTTGCCTCTCTCGCCTCTCAGAAAAGATTTAACAGATGCTAAAAGTGACGTCTCATATGACAAATATCTCCTTATTTCTACAAAAACACCTATACATTAGTCAGATCAGGACTTTAAGGAACATATTGTACTTTATTATGTGTTTTCCTTTTATTGCGTGGCTTCACTTAATAAATCGTAAGATTCAGTAATTTGCAATGCGTCTCCAAGTCTATACAAGTTAAAATGTTTCTCAGTATTTGCCTGAACCACTTTTCTGTCCCCTAAATAACTGGGACTCAATTGTTTCAATTAAAGTATTTTTCTCTAAGACCATATTTCCTAAACCACGAAAACCTCAGTCTGTGTAGAATGTGTAATGAATGCTAAACTGTATCATATTTTTCAGTCAATAGGTGGTGCTGTGTGTAAAATACCTTATTTAAGCTAAACGCTGCCATATCTGGCACTGCATTAAAGGATCTTATGATAAACACATCTAGTGTGTATAAACAAGCTGTGTAGTCAGTTCATCTCTGATACAGGAGTACAGGACATGGTGTCAGGAGTAAATTAAGAAAAGAATCAGAAGGAGAACAACAACAAAGGTTGAAGGATCTCATGTCATTCTTCAAAGCCCCAGAGAATTTCAGTTTGACAAATCTTCAGAATAGACAGACTGGAAGTATTTTACAAGATTTCAAATTGCAAATGAACTCCACAAAGAAACTGGCGATTTACCTATCTTCTCTAATTCATGCTATGGGGAAGAAAGCAGAGCATATTTTTAAATCCTTTGACTTTCCAGAAGACAGTCACAAAGGTGACTATGAAAGGGTTCTGGATATGTTTGATAGATACTTTCTATCCCAGAGAAATATGGTTTATGAAAGAGCATGTTTTCATCAAAAAAAAAAAACCAACACCACCCACAGGAAAAAAAGGTGAATGTTTTAGAAGAGTTCTGCATACACTGGCTGAAAACTGCGATTTTGGGAATGCAGTATCAGAGACAGTCTGGTTATTGGGGTAACAGATAAAAACTTTCACAGCAGCTAAAGTTGGAGAGATTTAACCCTAGCCACAGCTATACAGATACAAAGCAGTCACCATCAATCAAACTGAACAGATGGGCAGGAGCAACTTGAAAAACCTGAAGCTAGCTTAGAAGCTTGATAGACACTTGAGTGTTAAAAGTCATTATAAAACTCTCGAAGCAAAGAGAGTAAGAACTATCAGGAGGCGGAAATTCCAGCCTACATGCACAAAGTGTGGAAACAGTCATATCCCAAGAGATGATGCATGTCCAGCCAGAGGCTCATATTGTAATATTACATCCATGAAATATGGATTTTGCAGCTCTCTGCCACACCAAAGGATTCAGGGAGTTGACTCATATTACAGACAATTAAGACCCATTGTTTCCGGGATCTATCGCTTGTGAGGACATAGAGCCTGCCTGGAGAATGAAACTGAATATTCATGGCATGACTGTCTTTAAAACTGACACAGGAACTAAAAGTCACAGTCATTTCAGAAGGGACTGAGGCTTTGTCTACACTGGTACTTCGTTGGCAAAGCTTTTGTTGTTCAGAGGTGTTAAAAAACCACACCCTTGAACGACAAAAGTTTTACCGACAAAAAGCACTGGTGTGAACAGTGCTTTGTCGGCAGGGGCGCTCTCCTGCCGACAAAGTTGCTGCTGCTCGTTGGAGGTGGAAGTTTTTTTTGTCAGCAGGAGAGCTCTAAAGATCTCTGTAGCGCCCAAAAATACTGTAGGGTTTGCTCACCAAGTGGATTACTACCAGTACAATTGTAACATGAAAGTGGGGATAGGGACATGCTTAACCTGTGACATACGAGGGTGACAGCTTGGAAGTGCTGCTCGACCCAGACTACTGAGTCCTGGGGCATATAAGGGTGGCAGCTTGAATGTGCTGCTTGACCCAGTCCGCGGAGTCTGGGGGCATAGAATGGTGGCAGCCTGAAAGTGCTGTTCGACCCAGCCTGCTCAGGCGAACTCTATTCCAATGTGGTACCTGCGGCATATAAGGGTTGCAGCTTGAAAGTGCTGCTTGGCAGCCCACTCAGAGAGTGAGTGTGTGTGTGTGTGTGTGGGGGGGGTGCTGGGGCAACCCAGCCCAGGGGAACCTCGGCCCTGCAGGATAGCTCCATTGGGAGGGGACTTGCAGAAGGGAGAAGTAGAGCTCCATATGAAAACAGAAGTGACAAAGGAAGTACATTAATAGAATTACAGAACCCCTCCAAAGAGTAACCCTAATAAATGAGCGTACCCCAAAGTAAAGGGGAAATCTGGTAACAGGTCTCAGATAGTACCATCTTCCTCAGAGCATAATTTTTGGAGTCTCAGACACCTCAATCATGCTTCAGTTATATCGAGTTATGTTTTGGTACCAGGTGATGGGTACTGTGGGTTTTACAGGTACTTGAGAATTTCAGAGTAGAGGGACCCCTGGTACTGAGACCACTTGGAACCTTCACTTGGAGGTTTTTGGTACAGCAAGTCTCTTAGGGCCAGGTTCTTTTTGAGGAGATTTAGATAGCCTTTTGGCTGGAGACTTCACATTGTCAGCACTGCAGATCTCTCCCCCACAGGTCTGGAAGGTAATAAAGGTGCAGAGGTTGGTGGGGGACTGTGGTCACTTCAAAACTGCTGTCGGAGAGTCAGAGGATAGAGGATTGCTATTATGATGTAGGATGGAGAGAGCATTCCATCATGAGGAGACAAAACTTTATCTCCCTGTCTTTCCTGAAACATCTCTTGAATCCTGAGATAACCTTACACTTCAATTGCATTTGAGTACCTCCTAAACAGTGGATACAGTGCGAGTGGCCATCACTAACGGGGAAGGACTCCTGGCAAGTGAGGCAATGTTTGAATCCTGGGGATTTAGGTACGCCCAAAGGAAAAGGAAAAGAAAGCTCCTTCAGAGAAGGTGGGTTCTCACCTGAAGGGGGTGTGGGAAAGGGGAGAGGCTAAAAGCCTAAGTTTATAGGAAAAATAAAATAAAACTAAACCAATATAAAACCTAAAAAACCCTAAACTAATATAGGTAAACTAACTACCAAGAGCAAGTGAGGTAAGTGGCTGCACAAGTGGGCACCACTAGATACTCCGCCTGACGCCAAGGAAGTTGAGAAAAAATGGAGTGTGGTTTGTCTGCCATAGCCCTATACATCCTTGGTATGGGGCATGAGGATACCTAGGGTGCATACCACCTACTGCTGAAGAAAATCTCTGATCGAAGGTGCACAGGATGCATGTACACCTCAAGTGGAGCAGCCATAGTGACATTATTCAAAGAAGTGCATATAGGTGGGTTTATTATTTTGTCTACATTTGTACTATTAAATAAAGAGTAATGGTGTCTTAGAATCTTGGGCCATGTCTTTTGGCTTATACTATCAACATGCCCCTGAAGAAGAAAATGGTAAAAGTGCCCACATGGCTGGAATTCTGGGAGGACATGTTTAAGCTCCTGGGAAGCTTAAAAGGTCAGCACTGTCCCCAGTGATTAGGCAGTTGAACTGCAGTGTCTCAGCGCTCAGAAGGGGGTGCTAGACAGAGGATTTACAACCTGAAAGCATGCTCAGAAATGCCAAGCCGGGGCAGTGCCTGGACTTATGTTTAGATTCTGGAGGCTTAAAGCACCTGGGGTCTAATGAGATGGATCTCATCAGCAGTCTGGTAAGGGTGCAAGAGTGGGAGCTCGACTATATCTGTGACACTCCCTTGAGTATATTACTCTTATTGCTGATGTTAATCATGCTGGCTTTCCAAGTCCCAGTGGCACCTTATAACAGCATGGATTCAAATTCCTAGCTGCCAGTTAAACTGCGCCTGTACTTTGTATACATAACAAACACTGCTCAGCATCTCTCTTTGGTCTAATTAGAGAACTTAATATAAAAACAAATAATGGTATAAAGTGGTCCTCTACACGACTCCTAGTAAGAATTTAGAATTCCAGGGAGTTCCCATCAACAGAACAGAGGACTGCATCCCATTCTAAGAAATAAAGATAAAGAAACCATACACTGTGTTGTGACAAAGGAAAATGTTTATTTACATCCAGATAACCCCTTACCTGCTGCTTGTTGCCTTTTCGAGTTAACATGACAAATGGCATTGTGTCTCCCGACTCAGATTCTCCTTCCCCACCACCCAAGGGTGGACCCTTCTTTAGCTGACTCTTGAGATGCAGAGGAATAGCAACATCCAGCTGATGTACTTTCACAGATTCTCCACTCCGTTGCTAAAGAGAAAGGGGATGCACAATGCTCGAGGCAATCAAATGCTAAACATATGAAAGCTTTGTGGTTTTCACAATTCATTTTTAATAAAAAATGTCAATTACCTTCTAAAATAACAGAGCTATACACATGCATAGTCTCATTAAAATGTATTTTGTTTCCTCTGAGTTCCTACATTTCTTACCCTCTTATAGTCATTACGTAGAATTGAGAACATTGCAGAATGCTATTTTAGAAGACGACAATGAGAAAATATACTCAATTTAAAAGGGATTTGTGAATGATTTTTAAAATTAAAGAAACAATTCAATTAAAATTGGATATAATATTAAGATCAGTAATTCTGGATTCAGATTTTTTGTAATATTCCAATTACTCTATTATTGATACAGTGTTCGCAACAGAGTAGCAAATTATTCTCCAGATGTCATCTGTTTTGTTTTTATTTTAGCCATTGATATGCTATGTAAATTCAAATGGCAGCAACATTTATAATGCTTAACATCCTATGTATGGATAATCAGGTGATGCATAAAGCCAAAAATGGCAGAGTATCTGTGTAATAGGCTTTATCTTTATTGAGCAGTCAGTTGAAAGAATCAATTAGCATCTCCATATATTTATTGGGCAGAAGAAAACAATTTACAACTGCTTTACTAAAAGCAATTCTCTTCCAGCCATACTACTTCCATTCCTTAATCACTGATTCTTGAAACAGTACTTGAGCTCATTTTATAGAGTTCCTATATGATCACTAACTGCTCCTTCCACACTGTCCTCGGAAATTTCCATCCTTCCACAGAAGTCACTAAGAAATTCAAATGAGGTTAGGCATTATTTTCTATTCTGTCCCCCTGGCCAGGCTCTGTTTTCTCAAAATGGCAACTGCCTTATCTATAATTTTAAAAATGTTTGTATTGCATCACTCTACTAACAGATTCAACATATTTAATTGATCAGATACATCAATTAAGTATGCCACATTAAATAGCCTATGCTGGACTGCAAATATTTTCTGCATAGTCACCTTCCAGAAATACAAATATCTCATTTCTGAGCTTTAAAAAATAACCAGCTCAAAACGTTTCCTCTTGATATGACTTCTACATAAGTAAGAAAAAGGATCTATTTGCACTCAGAACACATCTCCAGTCACAAGCCATATTGAAAGCATCTGGAATTGAGTGTTCTGATGATAGAAATACTATAATTTAGCAGTTTTACAGCATTTGACAAGGTTGCATTAAGTTCAGGAAACATTTTTTGTATTGAGTCTACTTTACTAAAGTGGGTGAACAGATCTGACTCTTGTTAAAAGGCCACTTATGATGCCTGTTTTAGAAGATGCACATCAGCAAAGAATTAATTATGTCCCACTGGATATTACAAGAGTGAAAACTTACTCCCTAGCAGCATGTTTGAATTAGTCTGTATAATAAAATACCTCCCCAAAATATCACTAGCATTCAAAGAAACAAGTAAAAACTATAACTTCTGCCACTCCAGCAACATCAGTAGGCTCATCAAGAAGACATGAGAATTTCTTTGTGTATCTTTTCAGTCAATTAGGATGGCACCATCCAAAGGCCAATTCATCTATGTGCAAAAAGAACAGGAATACTTGTGGCACCTTAGAGACTAACAAATTTATTAGAGCATAAGCTTCCGTGGGCTACAGCCCACTTCTTCGGATGCATATAGAATCACTTTTTATTTAGTAATTTACTCAGAGTATGTATTAATACCTGGGGGAGCAAACAACTGTGCATATCTCTCTATCAGTGTTATAGAGGGC